TCGCGTCGGCTTTTGAAAAATGGAAAATTTAGCCGAGATTGATTCATTAGTTGACACGTTATAGGACGGTATAAGTATTGATCGCGGCCTGTCATGTCCCATCTCGGCTAATCGAAGCTGAGGCGCTCTGTCGATGGGCGCATTTTTCATAATTCCGTCGCCGGGGAGAGAGACCAGCCGGCAGAGGCGACTGCAAGGCACAGAGAGAAAAAGAGGAGAGGAGGCTATAGGGGGGCAGAAAGAGATAGACGGGGGGGAGAGAGATGACTTGAGGGGGGAAATAGGTAGGGGGCAAAGAGTGAAAGAGCGAGAAATAGAGTGAAAAAAGAAGCACGGGGTAGGAGAGGGGACAGGCAGAGCGCGGTTGTGTGCGTCTGTGCGTGCGCACGGCTGTGACTCCATGGCTGTGCGTCCGTCCTGCTCTGAGGCCTTGAGGTGAGGCAGAGAGGCGAGCCACAGGGAGGAGAGGGTAAGTTAATAGTGCAGGTATTGGGGCGTAGATAATTAATGCATTAACTAATTAAAGTCAAATGGGGGAGATAACGAGTTGGAGGGAAGTGCGAAAGAAAATAGGAAAAGACGCTGGGATGGAGAATTAGGGAGACAACAGGAGAAGAATAGCTTTTAATGGTGAGCGAAGGGATGCGGAGAGGTGTGAAAAAAGGGAGAGGTGAGAAGGAGGATGACGAGGTTTTGGGATGGAGGTGGGGGTAGGGAAGAACCGAGGGGCAAATAAATAGAAATCGAATAGTTTGGTTGGGAGCAGACAGAAGTTCTGAGGCGGAAAAAAATATATATATATAAAGAAGAGAAAGCGACAATGATGGAGAAACTTTTGATAGTTTTAAGGTTCGTTTGAAAAGTTGATTCAGATAACATAATATTGCTCCTCTGATAGTCTTCCCACGTGTGGAAACATCGACAAGTGTCCCGTCTGTCAAGAAAGGTGGAAGAATAGAAGCTGTTTGTCTTATAGTCTAAAGTCTGCAACTCCAACAGCCCCTTCCCTGTATAGAAAACATAATACCAGCATTATCCAATCACCTGCTTTGACTCTCAGAATAATCCTCAGTGACATCACATTCTTTGTCTTTAGGGTTCAATATGACATTGGTCAACACTTTGGAGCTAAAACAGCTTTAAATCTTCTGGGAAGGAGTGTGTTTTGTTGAATTTTTGACCATTCTTCCAAAAGTGTGTTTCATAGGCCAGGCTGATGTCTGACAACAAGGTCTGGCTCTCACATCTCTAATCCATCCCAAAGGTGAGAGTTCAGGAAGGACAAGCTCATCACTGTTTTTGTGGACCTTGCTTAGTGAACAGGTGCACTTCATGTTCGGAAGAGGAAGTAGCCATGTCCAAACTGTTCCCACAGAATTTAGTGTTGAAATTTTCAATATCAGTTAGTATGCTGAAGAACTCTAAGCCATAAACCCCGTTCAACCAAAGTTTAAACTAGGCACAAGACAGTCAGACAACTGCTGCCCTCTAATCAATCAGTTTGCCAGTTAGCTGTGTGATTCTGAGCCTTTCTGCATGGAGTTTGCATGTTCTCTTCATGCATATGTGGTTTCTTTCCAGGTACCCCAGCTGCCTCCAGCAGTCCAAAAACATGACATCTCTAAATTGTCTTTAGGTGTGAGAGTGTGTGTGTGTGTATGGTATTATGGCTCTGCATTGTCCTGGGATGGACTGGTGACGTCTGCAGGGTGTAAACCATCTTTTGACCATAGATTGCTGGAGATAGGCATCAGACCCCCAAATGAAGCAAGAGAAGATGGATGGATGGATGGATGGATGGATGGATGGATGGATGGATGAATGAATGAATGAATGAATGAATGAATGAATGAATGAATGAATGAATGAATGAATGAATGAATGAATGAACGAATGAATGAATGGATTTCAAGGGTTCCTCATAATAGAAATGAAAACGTTTTTTTATACGTCTTAAAAGGATGTTATTATAACCGATAAGTCAAGCAAAACACTTAATTGATAAAAATAGAAACAGAAAAAAAAATCCAAAGAACTATGTTCTTTGTTACAACTTTTACAGGGTTTAAGAACAAAATAATAGCTGGATTCTGGGCTTTCATAGCTTGGTGTTCTGAAGCATATGGATTTATGTTAACAAAATGCAAAGAGGGAACGACATCAGAAGAGGAAATGTTCCAGGCTTTCTAATCTAAGAAAGGGTTATGAGAATATTTTTAACAAACAATTGAAGGACATTTAGAAATATTTTAAGAGACATTTAATACTGGGGTACATTTTGGAAGCAAAGTCACTGTAAATCTAACCTACCAAAACAGTTTGAAGATTTTTTCTGTCTTGTATTGATAAAAACAGATTTTCCTTCATTTTTTGTGACAATTTAAAAGCTTATAGTTTGTGGTAATGTAATAGATTTTAAATAATCGCCCTTCTCTGTGGGGAAAGAAGAAGTGAATCCTTCATTAAAGGGCTTTTATAACTTTTGTGTGCCGAAATGCATATCAGAATAGAAACACAAATCTGTTGGCCCAAGGCTACAATATTCAGAAGGAAGTGGTGTGGTTTATATTTCCTGTTCTGGGACAGAAACTACATCACCAAGATTATTGGGTCACATCAGAAAAGCAATGAACGTGGATGTTCCAGTCATCTCCATGGCTGCATGTGTTACATAGTTTAGTGTGAGGAAACTGGCAGAAGCTGAAAATCTTATAAAACCTAAGTTACTAGTGCTTGGAACAGGAGCCATCAACAAACTGGACCCTGAAAGCAAAGAACATACCAAATGACCTGATCCAGTTTAGCATGTTTATTGCCATTCAAAAGTCTAGTAAAGTCTAAATTTTCAGCACCTTGAAAAATCAGGGATTCAAACAAAAGAGTAAATGTTGTTTAGGTTTAACTTTTTTCAAACAGTAAATTTGCAAACCAATATGTTAAATAAAAACATTTTAAAAAAATCATATGTCTAATAATTAATGTCCTAGAAAATGTTGATGGTAAACCACCAGCAGCACTGCTTGTAATCCACCATACTGAAACCTCATCTCTGTCCATGGTCCTGAAACCAGCAGAGGCATGTAATATCTCCTGATGGTGCTGAAAGTACAGTAGAATATTCCTCTGAGACTGGCAGTCTTTATTTCTGTGCATCTGTGCAATAATCGTGACCATTTTACTTATGTAAGAAGTTTTTAAGTTGCAAATCATCTCTAGGGGAAGTGATCATTGCTTTTCCGTTGGTTTTATTAGCAATAACTCATATTTTCTGGTATGTGACTCTTAGAGTAAAGCAAAATGTATCAAGTCAGAAATTCTAAGGTAGTTGTGACTGATTTTATTCATAGTGTAACCGTTTAACTTGAGGCCAACAAAAAATAGGATTAATGAGGCTGCAATCTATATCACAATGTCTACTGTTTATAGGAGTTAGAGACAGCGAGACACACAGACAGACCCAGTGAGATGTAGGCAGTTCAACACACAGCCAGAGTTGTGTTCCTGAAGTGCTTCCATTTATAAAACAGAACCATTTCTTATTGCCTTGTCTGGCTAATCATATTGGTTTTACTACTTGCAACTCAACTCATGTGTGGCAAATCCCCAGCTTTACATTATAACTTCTGAGGTGAGTTTTAGCATAGCATAATACACATTCCGATTGTTAGAGAGAACCAAACACAACGGACCAGTAGAGGATTTGATCATCATGTGTTCAGTATTGTTTTCTTTGAATTAAATGAGTCCTGGAATGATAAACTTTACCGAGTGTCAGAATTACAAATGGCGAGGGTCTTTACATCGATAATACACACTCATGTGTGTGCGGGATTGCATGAGAGGAATTTTCAACAACATATAATAAAATTCCTCCTCCGTAAAGCAAAAAAGGTTGGGTTATTGCAGACAAAAGTTTGGATTTTTAGTTTTCCTTCTGAAATCATTGCTATCATGTCTTTCTTCAAAAACATGGTGAACTTTCTTGACAGAATACCTAAAACCTGAACTAGTCTGATCATGAAACAGGGTGATCCACTCAGAGAGCTTGTACCCAAACATCTTTGAGCCAAACAACATAAATCTTATTCTAATTGATCTTTGATAAACTACAACGCATCGTTTGAGGAAGTCCTGTTGCACCTACAGAAAATGGGACTATGTTGCAGAGGGCGAACCACCACACACCCTCTCAAATCAGCAATGATAAAGGTGGAGCTGTAATGGTTTGTGGGATGGAATCAAGAGAAATGAGATACACCAAATTAGAAGAGATTGGCCTGATGGACTTGGATTAGAAGGGAAAAAGGTGTATAGGGACGGGATATCGAGAAGAGCAGGAGTGAGTGAGTGAGTGCATATGGGGAAGATGGGGAAAGATGGAGGGGAGAGGAGGAAAGAGGGGAGGGGTGGGAGGGGGGTCTTGGTACTTGGCAGTCTCTGGGTATCTCAGGTTCTCTCCGGCCGGGAAAGCGGTCGATATTTAATTGTTATTGCTAGCATGGAACGCACGGAAGCGGGGCCTGTACGAAAATTTCTCATTTATTTGGTATTCTTGTTTTCTCTCCTTTTCCTCCCTTCACCCGCAGTCCTCTTTGCGGGGGAGGAAAGTGAGGGGAGGGGGAGAGGGGGGGCGTCCTGTGTGCGCACTGGGGGCAAATGAGAAAAGGGGATGAGATCCTTGGATGGATCTGAAAAAAAAAACAGTGTCGTCCTCTCCCCAAGTTTAGTTTCTGTCCCCAGACACACCGTATCCCACCCACTATCACCTCCACCATCCTCCCCCACCTCCCCCCCACCGGCCAAATCCGTCATTTTCATCAAACGTCCAACCAAATATTATCCACACTCCATTCCCGAAGATCGAATCTTATTTAGAAACGACGGGATTCGCCATCTGTTTTCAGATTTCATTCCTCCGTGAACTTTATTTTCCCCTCGACTTCGGACAAAATTATAACCCGATCGATCCGCTTTCCCGGCCACCACCACCCGTCTGCTTATATTTTTCCACGTGCGACCACTTCACCGCACTCTGCGGGTCAATTTTCAGCCGAGGCAATGCGTGCAGAACGCAGTTTGCAGCTGATAGAAACTTAGATGCTGATGTGAGGTGGAGGTTCAGCCTCAGCACCTTCACTGTTACCTCCCCCCTCCACCCACCCACCTCCACCTGCTTCCTTCTCTGCTCTCTCATCCCTCCCCATGCGCCCGGATCGCTCCCCCTGCGCGCCCCTGACCAAATCTCTTTGCTTTCTTCTTCACGCTCCACTCCTGTGAAGTAATACCAAACCATTTTCGGACAGCAGCAGGTCAGAGAGGAGTTCTTCTTTTTTTTTTTTTTATCTTGGCAACTTTTTGCAGATAACTTTTCAACTCTCTCTGTTGTAGCGCGCTACTATATCTATTGCAATTTGTTTTCCGTTCGCACCGATGTTTACATTATTACTCATAAATCCTGTCAATAGAGTAGTTTGATGCAGAGGGTGTGAAGGATGCTCGGTCTGATCTCCTAAAACTGCATCATTACCATCACTTCTCCGCGCGCGTCGACAGGATTCCCATTCCAGCCCAGGAGGGAGCTGCTGGACAGGTCCATGAAGGCGCGCCGGTGAAGGTAAGCACCTCACTTCCCTATTCGGTTATAGACAGATTGCATTCATAATCTAGAAAGCCGATTACAATCTCCCGAGAAATAGGGTGCACTATATGCAGAAATTGATTGATGCAGAACGTTTGCACATACGGTCTGAGAAACAGATCTGGAAGTTTACAAGAGCCTACTTTAAAATGAAAGACTTCATGGCTTACGTTCCTGCTTTTTCACATATCCTTTCGGGATGTGTGGTTCCTTCGAGGTGGAGTTCTGGAGAAAGCGCGATGAAAAGTAAAAGACCTACAGGGGAAGAGGAAGTTTGGAGAGGAAAGATTTTTTTTTCTCATCCAAAAGTTTAGACGCAACACCTGAAGTATGACAAGGCGCACAGAAGCTTAACTTCTTTATGTGTTTGAGTTTATTTATGCAGTGGGATTACCTTGGATTATAAAACTAAACTGCATATTTGTTTTGCACCACCTTAATGCTGATAAAACAGGTTCTCAATACAGGTGCGCATACAGATCCTTTAAGAAAGGGGCACAATGGGGGTCAAGGCTAATGTGACCAGGAGTTTGGTTAAAGAGGTGTGTTTGTAGGGAGATGGGCATTGAACATTTCATGTTAAGAATGAATGAATGAATCCTCCATCCCTTAAATTTGGCAAATTATCAAACAACATTAAAGATGCAGAAACCTATTTTGCACTCTCTGTACTTACTTACTTATTAGGGACCTTTTCTGGTATATTTACTTACCTTCTGAGGACCATCAGGCCTTACAAAGAGCAAAGTCTGGTCTTAAAGTGGCAGACACCTATTTTATTCTTAAGGGGTTAGTTTAGAGGTAGGGTAAGAGTTAACTTAAGTTTAATGTTAGGGATATGATAATAATGATTAAGATTAGGCATTAATGCACCAACTGAAATGAATGACAGTTAATGTAAAGTCCTAATGTAGGAAGAAATACAAACTTGTGTGTTTGTGTGTCTAAGTGTGTTGCGTACAAACAAACCTTGCTTTTAAGATACCCCTGACCTTACATCAAATGTAGTCACATTTAATGTGCGGATGCTGTGATAAAAGGGAATTTCATTCAGTTTGAGAGCACAGCATCATTGTTGTGGCCTCGGGTGGTCCGCTCGGTTTTTTTATTTATTTTTTTTATTATGAAGAACTCCTTCCCAATCACAGTCAGCGGAGACATGAGACTCTTATCTTTGATGTCCTATGATGTTCACTCAAGAGCCTCAGCTTTGATGCAGGATTGCACACAGACTTTGTGAACTGATCCAGTTTTGGACTTTTAAGATTCTGCTTTTCAAGATTTTTCTGCTTTTTGTTGAGTTAATTTCATTTGTGGAATATGCTGCGTGGTCCAGGTCTCCTCTGCTCTTTGCATATTTTCATGTTATCCTTAAGCAGGTCTTGTAACTGTTTTTACTGTTTAAATGTTTTACATATATTTTCCTTCATTGGAAGATTTCTTTGTGAAACTTTAATATCTAAAAAAATCAAATCCCTCACAAACATCTATTTCTTATAAGGTTCATTCTCTTGTACATAAAGTTTGCCAAGGTCAACTACATGCTTTCAGTTCAACCTCTGCATTGATTTCCTACTTGTGTTCTGCAAACTCAAATACACATAGTATAAAAATGAAGAATGTTGTTGTTTAATACTGGGGCTTTATAAATTTATGAAACAACAAACAAATCTGAATTATCTGCAAAACACCATAGAGTTAAATCTAAAACAAGTGGTCATGTCTTTGTCCTTTAATATAAAGCACATCAACAGACTGCACCTTTCCACATCTTATGAAAAGCTGCATTTCTTTGCTGAATATATTAATAAAGAGTAGCTAGTCCTCAGCTGCATTACTACAAAACAAGTAAGTGTTGTTTAATGTATTTAAGACGATTTTTGTTAAAGTAACTACTGTCTTGTTTTTTTTTTTCTTACATTTATTTTTCTAAAGGTATAGTTCTTAAACAATATAATAAATACAACAGAGAAAAAATCAAACAAAACACAAAAACAAAAAAGGTTGATCTGTGCCTGTTTACTAGGAGACACAATATCCAGAGAAATAACCCCAAGTCAATATATTCATCAAAGCTTCAAACTAGCATATTTTTTAACTTTTTAACTGAACTCAGTATTTAAATGTGTTATTTTAAGAGACCCCAATCCTAAGAGGTATGTATTTTTGTTTTACATGAAGCACTGAGAGTACATCACTAATTGTCTCTTTCCAAAACAAGAAGGCAACTAACAATCATTAATTCTTCTATTAAGGATTAAATGACAACAAACCAGATGATGGTATAGAGCTAAACTATCACCTATAGGTTAATGCCTTGGATTTAGTTCAGTATACACTTTAAGTCAGCATTCAATCCACCTTTATCCTAATCAT